AATTTCACAAAGTGACGCTCGTCTTTGGAATTCAAAAGCGTGTAGGTGTTCACCCCAAAGCCTTGCATCATACGGAAAGACCGCGGGATACCGCGATCAGACATAACCCACATAACCATGTGAGCAGCTGGATACAACAGGGTCAGTGAGCGAGATCGACGGATATTGGAGCCAACTCACATTCAGGCTGCAAGCCAACAAAGTCCCAGAAATTATTGTGTGCGCTTTGTCCTTGAGGTACATCGGTATCCGGTTCAGGCTTCACAGCATGGACGAAATCTGGGAATTTCATCGCGTCCTGAATGAAGAAAACAGGGATATCATTTCCGACAAGGTCCCAGTTGCCTTCTTCTGTGTAAAATTTGATCGCAAAACCGCGAACATCGCGCACTGTGTCCTAAGCGAAGAAGTTAATTACCGAGTAGCGGGACAGAATTAAATAAGGTACTTACAGCACTCCCTTTAGAGCCCTGCACAGTGCTGAACCGCATGAAGACAGGGGTGGTCCTCGAGGAATCTGTCAGCACAGAGGCAGTGGTGTACTCGGATGCTCGATCGCCATATGCTTTAAAATAACCATGGGCACCTGCCCCACGAGCATGTACAACACGCTCGGGAATACGCTCATGATCGAAACGGTGGATTTTTTCGCGGGCGATTTGGTCTTCAAGGAGAGAGGGTCCACCATGATGCCCGTCTGCGACTTTTAGCCTGACGAAAGGTGATCAGGGCATATTCAGCCATTAGTGAAACGGAGATACCAGTTATCAGTGTCGGAAACTTTAACACCAAAATCCGTGGTTAGGCCTTGTCCAGGAGTAGGTTCCTGAATGTCGTGCTGCAAATCAACATTTTTTTTGGTAGATGTCATAGTTGTGAAAGCTTGTTTGGCGATTTGCGGGATTGAAGTCATGTTAGAAATGAAGCAAAAGGGTGTTGCTTGTCACCCTCTGCATCTCGATGTGTTGATACTTGTACCATCCGCTCTGCTTTTCCAATACTGAGATCATGGTAGAGTGTTTGCGTCACTGAACGTCAATGGTGACATACGAGAAAGTCACGTGAGCAAAACAAATGTTAGAAACAGTCCGTTATGTCCGCTGATCGATCGCGCTGACCAATACTTGTTTCAAGCAAGCAACAATTTACAAGGATAGTTTCGCGGAAAATTACAGCAGCGAGGGCTTAACATTGTTCAAAGGGAAAGACATGAGCTTGAAGACCTGAGACTCGTGTCAGAGTCGACTCCGATGGGTGGCTACGACTTTAGAGAGACCTCTGGGTCTCTGAACCTAGGTCTACTATTTACATAGAATGCAGCTTGACAATAGCTGATATCTTTCGGTAACCTTGGTATAAGAGAGACCAGCAGACAAGCTACAACTCTCAGTTTCTCATTGCTACTTTGCTGTGACTCCGTATCAAGTGGTGCGGAAGTGAGAGATCAGCATCCATTTCGGTTGCCAAAACCCATTGCAATTAAAGGCAGTGCACGCCGACGACATAGGCAAGAGGAGGTATGGAAAATGCGAAGCTTGGATCAGGGAATAGATAACCTTTGTTGAGGAACTCAGCATGAATTGAGTGCAGCACCATTCACAAGAATCTTGAGATTTGCCAAACGTTTCCCCAAGCCATGAATTCTTTGAAATCGTTATATTCCAGATATACTACGGACCGTAGTGTAATGAAAAGGTCAAAGGAAGGGTAAAAAGCAAGGGAAGAGGCAAATGAGAGTCAGGGTAATTTGGTATAGCACAACAATCAGAAAGAGCATTACAAAGATATATAGCAAGATAGTGATATATCAGAAAAATAGACATCGACCAACCAGCCGTAATTGAAATAATGGCATACTTGAACAGCTGTCGACCAGTTCGAGATCACGCTCGTCGCTGGGCTCATGCAACAAGGCAAGAGCGGTACGAAACGTGACACATCGGAATGTTGGCGTAGAATAGAAATTGATACGTCATCAGAAGCGCGCAGTAGACGAATCAACCATCAGCTACGACGAAGCGAGTGGCGAATAAATGCTCGCCCGGGCTGTTAGAAGATCATTGATTAGAAAGCAATATATGCAATGAATAGATGGCACTGACGCATAGAAGAAGTTAACCATATAAGTAGTTGAATTATTTACTTGACATCGGCACAATCACACTCGATGTTAGCACCAATCATGCCTTTGCCACAAGAGTCACACCAAGTCCTCGAGCCTTTATCGACACCGATAGATTTGGAGAGGGAGGATTGCGTCGAGCAAACCGATTCATCCCGATGTATGCTAACCAAATGACGACCGAGATCATGTTTACGGCTAAACGATCGACCACACGAGCGATGAGGGCAAACGTGAGGTTTCAGACGGTTGGGATCATGCGTTGCCATGTGCGTCTTCAAATTATACGCGCGAGCAAAGGCTAGGTAACAGAACGTTAGGGTAGAACGAGTGAATAGAACATAGTAACCAACCTCGAGGGCATGATGGGCATGTATATCTTTTGCGAGGGTCATCCTTAACGTGATCCTCCATACCCCTGACAGAGCGAGGCTGAGGCACGGGAGAAGAAGAGGCAGATAGGTGCGACATATTCGACGGCGGCGAGGTATGGTGCGCAGGCATGTTATAACCGAGGCCGTAGTAGTCAGCAGTAGAAGACTTGGGGACGGCAGGGATATGAGCGGCACCACCGTAGTCTGAAAAACTCGTGCGTTTAAAGGTAGCGTCTGCGACAGCCGCAGTCGCAGAAGGGCTGCGGGAGGGTGGGAAGGCACCGAAGGCACTCGGGTCGATAGTCATGGGAAAAGCGGGAGCGTTTGACTGCGCGGCGCCAACACCGTAGTCAGAACCTCCGACGCGAACTCTCTGAAAATCCATTTCTAAATCGATGGGGAAAGAGCAGTTTGAAGTGGGGTAGGGGGAGTTCGGAAAGTTGTAGAAAGACTCGGAGCGGGAAGATAAGGACTCGTAGGCAGACTCCGAGGAGACTGTAATAGTAGAAGGGGGCCCACACGTGGGGGTATCGGATCTCAGAAAAGAGAATGCGTCGTTGGAGTCTACAGTGAGGAGTTGAAGTTGAACTTCGTCGAAAGCCGCAAGGCTATCGTCCAGCTCTAATTCGAAAAGATCGGGATGAGGAGCAAGGATGTCAGAAGGCGAATGAAATGAAGCAAAGTCAAGGCCTTGCTGCTGCTTTGTGTATTCAGTCCCGTAGGACTCGTAGGAGCCCGTGAAAAAGGGATCGGACTGAGCTTCAGGCATGATTGGCATCTATACTGCGGAATGAAGTTATAAGAAAATTTGCTTTGTGAAGCACAAGGGTTTTCGGTGGAATCGAGTCAGTGTAATACTGGAGCCTTGATGGGGCGAAATTGGAGAGACGTTTTGGTGCTGCGGACCACGCAAGCGCGGTTTATAACATCATTTGTCAGCAGGCCTTCTCACCCCTTCACAGCCCAATCCGGAAAACTCCGATCTTCGGCATGTCGCTGGCATCATCCTCGGCTTCACCCCACAACCCATATTTGGCTGTATGATCATTGTGAAAGACTCCCAGCAACAAAGATCAGACCGCCCAAAAGATTCCTGTCCTGCTTTAGGCCTCACAAAGCGATACATCCTCAGATTCACGCAAACGGGACTTTTGCAAAAGGCAATCGCAACCACATCATGTTGACATGACACGTTGGTGAGCCGGTGTTTATGGTGGGTTTCCATCACGGTGAACATTGACCCGTCCTATACACAAGACGCTTCGAAAACTCAGTTCGAGTAAACAGTCCTCTAGATCTGAATTTAATACATATTCAAAATTCATCGGGGGAGATACCCAGTGCGTTAACAACCGCTCCATTATACTTCCATTATTTTGTGGTGGATTTTTTTTTCATGAGGTTTTTGTCATCTTTCTCGATAAAAACTGTAACATGTGGATGTGCGCAGTATGGCGCCTAAAGTTGGCATCAAGCGCCGGAGCTGACACACGAGGGAAATTTACCCAGTCGACCAGCTGCGCATACTTTGTTTTCCTCTCCAGAGTACCCTGGCGTCGACGTTATCAGTCTTCTGCGCAGTCCCAGGCTGCAGCAGGAACAAAATCTTCTGGTTTTCCGTGCAAAGCAATCACACATCCACCCGTTTCCGACGGATGACGTTTTGTTCAGCATCAAAGTTGCCCCGCCCACTTCCGCTTGAAGATGAAGCTTCAAGTCTGATCCTTGTCTATTTATCACGAGAACATCAAACAAGATTCTGATCTACTCATTCAACGAGGCCTAAGCTACTAGACTCTCCCATAAACATCCTGTGCTGTTGCTGGCGCCACATTGCCCCTAAAAGCACACGCGGTGCAAGATCCCCGTCTTCATATCCAGTCCCGACTCCCTGGAATGTGCAGGCCTTTGTGACCCTGCACACTGGTGAAGTGATTTCATTACGGTATCATATTAATTGATGTACTATACTGTGGTCAATGAATCATATTCGATTGACCTCTCGAGCAGATGCAGATGAGCCCCTCCTTGCCAGAGTCATCGCCGTCGTTTGTTTCGATCTATCGCCTCATTATAATGGCTGACTTATATATTCCAGCGACACTGCTCTTCGTACTCATCAAGCCAACGATCTATGTGGAGCATGTGCTGTCTGTTCAGTGTTGATGCGATAGCAACCGCTTCACCATGGTGCGGCTGTACATGATTGTTGGCCTATTATCAAGAAGTTTACAATGTTTATGCTCCTGTTGAATGCCTCATGAGTGGTTTGTTAGGTTCTTCTAGTAGCCTGAAGTTATGTTTCTCCGTATGACGTCGAATCAGTTGACAGTGACATGGATATCGTGTCCCTGCACATTTTTCCATTGCGACCCCGCTTGCTTAAACTGCCAAACACCCACTTTTGAGTATTCCACTGAATCGATGCTGTTGGGCCATAGAATATTTGATAAGTATTTTGCTGCCAAGAGAGACATGATTGCAGCTAATATTAGATTAGTATCGCCCGCCTAGCTCAATCGGATAGAGCGTCAGACTCTTATGACTAGGCATCTGCGATCTGAAGGCTGCGAGTTCGACCCTCGCGGTGGGCTATGAGTTTTGGTTGATTTATTTGGTTTCTTTTTCAATCATAACGCAGTTGTATACTAATCCACTCATAAATAACCTTCAAGTTCATGCCGTCGAAGCCGGAAAGTGGACGTATGATCGTTAACTCAAGGCAAATTATGCATGTTATGTAAAATATGAAGGGTGTCGCGATTTGCAAGTTATTCACATTCAATATTCAGCATAGCTAGTCATAAATAATGGCACTCTATTTCATGTCAGATATTCCTTGGTTAGATGATAAGTATGGTCGTATCGCGTGTCCGTGGTGTGTATCGTAAATCAATAATTCATCGAAGATGGCCAGCATCAATGTAAGGTTATCCTCGGAATGTGCAACAGCTGAGAATGGCATTAGCCTAGTGTCATTGAAGTGGCTCGAGAACTCGACGTACCTGATCATGTATGGAATGATCGATGCCGCCAGGCAAGCAAATGCGGCCCAACTGAGGTATATACCAATGCCGTAGTATACGGTGACTCCGCATGGAATGCCTTGCGCAACATCGAAGGTGTTGATACCTTCCGCTTTTTTGACTATGGCTGTCCATATAGCGGCTCCAATGAGAATGAATAATGTTGCAACCACCGACATTCCGGTGGATACAAAGAAGGCAAAGGTCTGCTTAAGAAGGCCGCTGTACAACAGGTTTGTTAGTAAATGACCCAACTAAAGAGGGCCGAACCCACGTAATAAGAGCTATAGCAGCAGCAATGGTGCCCAGCAGTAGGAAGTAGTAGGCTACATGGGCATTATAGCCGAGATAGGATGAGTCCATGAATGTCGTATCAACGAAAATTGCGTCTGAATATTGGGAATAGTTGAGGAACATGTCGGATGTGAGAGCGGTATATGGTTCAAATTTCATTCCAACAGTTTGATTGGAGCATTGGCCTGCTGTGGTGTTGACATAGGCGCAGTATGAGTATAGGCCAAAATCATACTGATCCCTTAGGCCGGCTCGTTCACCGAGAGGAGCAGAGGTATTATCCGTATAAAGACCTTGGATAGGCACTTTGAAGGCGTCGCCAAGGGCTTGACTGCCAGTTCTATCAGCACTCATAAGCCGTGAGCACGACCGATTCACTCACGCATAACCTGAGGTGTTGACCGTCGCCTGTAAATTGAATATTAGAACAGGTAAGCTAGAGTTCTTCGGAACGAGTCACCATTGACACTCCATGTGGGACGGTTGAAGTATTAATTTGTCCGACCTATGCCATATCCTTGATAAGATTGTACCCATATTGAAGCGAAAAAGGACGGACGTACATGAACAAAGATCAACAGCAGTACTGCTACAAGCCTGACATGAAGGTTACAAACGGTGCAAAATGATCGGCACGGAAAGACTTACGACAAAAAAGTGGCAGATCCCACACAATATTCTCCTCTCATTTTTTACTAGCAGAGAAAGCAGAGGCAGAAGAAGAAAGAAAGGAATAAGATTGGAACAATTGCGAGACCTTTGCCTCAAGGACGCGACCTGTACTCCACGCGACGGGAACATTTAATAAGATGATCATGGTTCGGTTTGGCATCAATTTTCCCACGAACATTGTATCTCCATACACCAAACTTGGCCAAACTAGGCGCTATAGTAGAGCTTTACGATCCAAGCAAAGAAGGACGTATTTCCCAAGTTGCACCACAACCTTTCCTAATCGTTATTAAACATATCAAAGTCTCCGTTTATCGCTTGGAATGACCAAGCTGACCTCCTGGAAGCCTTTGGCTCGAGGGCCAGTCGTAACAGGTCCTTTCGAAACTTCGCCACAAGATCTCGGGCTTCAAGATCAAACGGAGGATGAAGCCGACAATAGTTCTTCTACAGGTGCACGCATCAAACGGGCCGCTGTGAAGACCGTAGATCTTGGTAAAAGCCTGGGCAAACGTGCACAATCTCCAAGCTCTCCTTCCAGTGTTCTCGGACGTGGTTTTAGTATAGGTAGAAAAGGTAAAGGGAAAGAGACGTCGACTGAAAAGGTCACATCAGAAGGTCAGTTGATGATTTACACTGCCCCCCTTAGACATATCATCTCACAACCGTGTCATAGGTTAGTCCAATATGCATCCGCAGTTTTTACACCGAGCCCGATCTTGTTTTGGCATTTGCACAGGAAGCTCACATATTCATGAATCTCCCTCAAGTCCTGCGGATGATTCACCTTTCATAAGACCCCCTTCGCCTTCAACCTCTCCTAGAAGACCTTCGCTCCAGTCCTTCAGAGGTGTTGGCTCTGTGCGTTTGGTTTGGTGCCAAGGCATATCTGAAACTTACACTAAACCTTAACAGGTGCATGCTGGAACGCAGACTTTAATTCAAGCGCTTCAAGCTCTCCCTTGGACGGATGATCCAGACAACGAAGATATATCAAACATTCACATACCCCAAGCTGATTCGGACAGTGACGAAGGTCTGCATGCCTCATTTTACAGCGCCGATAACGTGCCTTAATGCTTCATAGATGACAACATGGCTTCGTCCATACACGCTATATACCGCCCTGTCGCACGCTCCCGAAGACCGGAGTTAGTAATTCCGGGTTTGGGTGCCAATCCTTTACCCACTCCGAAGGAAAGTCATGAAGGTTCCGATGCAGATGTCGACCCATCAGAAGACGATGTCGATGCCGAAGATTTTGAGGCTGCTACACCTCGTCCCCCAGATGCTGAAAAACCTGAATTTATGCTCTCACAACCGATGGCAACAACACCATCAACATATCATGCTAGTTTGACTTCACGACGTCGGGCCGGAAGTCGTGCCGGCAGTATGACCACTGTGAAAGTCCAACGCAGAACGCGACTGGCTCAAAAGCTCAAAGAAATTTATGAAATTAACACTATCAATGAGGTCATGGCTGGTATGACTTTTACACTTTATGTAGAATACATCTCACCATTTTCGTCAGAAATGCCATGTTGGCTCCTTCGTTCTGTTTGCAAGTACTCTATTTATGGTCTCGATATCATCTAATATTTCCTACAGTGCTACAGGGGTACATGTATCTGACCACCTCGCATCTATGTTTTTTCGCGCATATGCCAAATAGAGAGGTACGATTTTGATTAACATCAATATTTATACATGCCTGATTCTAGCTCAAGGACCAAATACTGAAATCAGGTACCCTCAGTAAGAAGGCTAATCGGACCAAACGGTGGGGAAAACATTGGTTTGTGCTCAAAAACGATGCGTTGTCTTGGTTTCAATCCTCTTCTGTGAGCGAATTCTTTCTTTTTTTGCACCACCTTTACTTAAATCTTGTGTCAGGATCCCTACTTTGTGAACGGTATTTTGGATCTTCGATATGCCATTTCTTGCGATCCATCTGGCGAAAAGGAGATTCGGCTACGGACTAATCAGAAAAGTGTGGTGTTGTCTGCTGATTCCGTGCCTAGCCGGGAAGAATGGGTGAAAGCCATTCGTAAGGTCATTTTCAAAGCACAGAATACAGGCGATACTGTCAAGGTAAGTGCTGTCCCTTTGTTTCTAACGCAATACCCATGATTTCCAGATTGCTATTCCCTACTCCGCGATCCTGGATGTAGAGAAATCGTCCGCTCTGGATTTCAGTGAAACCATCGAGATTAAGGTGTTTGACAAAGAGGAGCATTTCTCTGTGGAATCATATTTCTTTGCGTATTTTCACGATCTTCAAGCTGCATTGGAACAAATTCGAGATGCCGTACGAAACTACCGTGCTCTCCCATCACGATCTTCTCCGCAAGCTCTTCTGGACACGACCGCACCTCGTTCACCGCCATCTGCACCTCATAGCATCGATCGAGCACGAAGTCTGCCAGTCCCTGATTCAAGATTCGGCTCTGGCTTCCGACTGACCAGCCTGCTTCGGCCTTTCCAAGACTCGCTTCCTCTTGGGCGAATACACAGCACTCCTACACCACCTCAGGAAGGTTCGGACGAATTCACTCACGTCTCCAAGAGTGGAAATGCGTCATTCGTACCCTTGACATCATCGCCAGTTCGTATCGCATCTCCC